TTCGGAGCGATGGAATCTCAACTTCAATTGGTAAGACTGCTTCCATCCCGTAGACTAAAGAAAACGGTGTTACCCCAGTAGATGTTCAAACAGTAGTTCGGTATGCGTATAGAGCAAAATGTAACTTCTCGTGCCAATCTTTGTAAGTTTCAGTAGTCTTTGTAATGATTCTCTTGATGTTCTTATTTGCTGCTTCAACTGCCCCATTCATCTTTGGACGATATGCCACTGAATTTGAATGTTTGATCTTAAACTGTGCACAAAGTTCGGTCATTATTTTGTTGTTCAGGTTCAGAGCATTATCTGTAATGATCCTTTCTGGTAGGCCATACCGGCAAACTATCTCTTTCTTTATGAATTTACAGACTGTGGACCTCTTAATATTGGCATATGAAGAAGCTTCAACCCATTTGGTAAAATAACCAATTGCCACAAGGATGAAGCAATGTCCATTCGATGCTTTTGGTGTGATTGCTCCAATGACATCTATTCCCCACATAGAAAATGGCCAGGGTGCTGTCATTACATGTAAAGGAGATGGGGGTACATGAATCTTGTCTGCATATATTTGGCATTTATGACATTTCCTTGCATAATCAATGCAATCTGTGTACATAGTAGCCCAATAGTATCCATATCTCATTATTTTTCTGGCCATGGAAAGACCATTTGCATGTGTTCCACATATTCCACTGTGTACTTCTTCAATGACGTTTCGAGCTTCGCTGGTATTTAAACATCTCAATAGCATTTGATCATTGCTTCTTCTATACATAATCTCGCCATCAAGAAAATATCCAGCAGCCATTCTTCTCAAGGTTCTTTTATCAATTTCCGATGCATTTGGTGGATAACTTTGATTTTTGATATATTGCAGAATATCATGATACCATGGTTTACCATCTACCTCTTCTTCCACACTATAACAATGTGCAGGAATTTCATATACTTGCATTTTGATTGGCATCATATCAACCTTCTTAGTTGCTTGAAACATAGCAGCTAATGTAGCCAAAGCATCTGCCATTTGATTTTCTTCTCGAGGGAGATAATTGAAGGTAACTTTCTCAAATTCTTTCACTAATTCGAGTGTAAAATTTCGGTATTCCAATAATTTGGGATCTTTTGTTTCCCATTCTCCTCGCAATTGATACACCACCAAAGATGAATCTCCATATATCTTGAGAAATTTGATTTTTCTTTCTATAGCTGCTTTCAATCCCATGACACAAGCTTCATATTCCGCCATGTTATTGGTGCAAAAGAACTCCAGTCTACTCGTAAAGGGATAATAAACATTTTCTGGAGAAATCAACACTGCCCCGATTCCTCGTCCCAAAGCATTAGATGCTCCGTCAAAATAAAGCTTCCAAGCTGCAAATTCATCATTTGTTCTGACTTCTTCATTCATGGATATGCACAACAGATCTTCATCGGGGAAAATTGAAGTTCAAAGGCTGATAATCATTTGATACACGACTGGCCAGAAAATCAGCTATGACACTTCCTGTTATCGCTTTTTGGTTGACATATATATAATATCAAACTCAGATAATAACATCTGCCATCTAGCCATTCTGCCTGTCAAAGCTGGTGATTCCATTAAGAATTTCAAAGGATCAAGTTTTGATATCAACCAAGTAGTATGGTATAACATATATTGTCTGAGTCTTCGAGTAGTCCACACCAAGGCACAACATAATTTTTGTATTGGTGGATATCGAATTTCACAATCATTAAATTTCTTGCTCAGATAATAAATAGCTTTTTCTTTTCTTCCAGATTCATCATGCTGTCCTAGTACACATCCCATCGAATTTTCGAAGACCGTCAAGTAGAGAATTAATGGTCTATCAGGCATTGGTGATACTAAAATGGGGGCATTGGATAAATATTTCTTAATAATATCCAAAGTTTCTTGACATTCTTCATTCCAGACTTCAGGATTGTTCTTTCGAAGTAATTTGAACACTGGATCACATTTGTCAGTTAATTGAGAAATGAACCGAGATATATAATTTAATCTTCCCAAAAATCCTCGAACTTCTTTTTTTGTATTGGGTGGTGGAAGATCTTGAATTGCTTTTACTTTATCTGGATCAATCTCGATTCCTTTTTTGCTGACCACAAATCCCAAAAGTTTTCCAGAAGTTACCCCAAAAGTGCATTTAGCGGGGTTGAGCTTTAATTGATATCTCCTCAATCTCTGGAAAAGCTTTCTCAGATTTTGAATATGTTCTTCTTCAGTCCGGGATTTGGCAATCATGTCATCTACATATACTTCAATCTCTTTGTGCATCATGTCATGAAACAAAGTTACCATGGCTCTTTGATACGTTGCCCCTGCATTTTTCAATCCAAATGGCATCACTTTATAACAGAATGTGCCCCACATGGTTATGAATGTTGTTTTTTCCATGTCTTCAGGATTCATTTTTATCTGATTATATCCTGAAAATCCATCCATAAATGAAAACCATGCATGCCCTGCAGTATTGTCCACCAATGTGTCTATGTGGGGTAAGGGAAAGCTATCTTTCGGACTAGCTTTGTTGAGATCTCTGTAATCCACACACATTCGAACTTTCCCATTTTTCTTTGGTACGGGAACAATGTTGGCTACCCATTCTGGGTATTTAGATGCCTGTAGGAAACCTGCATTGATTTGTTTCATCACTTCTTCTTTGATTTGCAACAACATTTCTGGCCTCATTCGTCTGAGCTTTTGTTGGATTGGTTTATATTCTGGATTTATTGGAAGCTTGTGTATTACTATATCTGTGCTTAAACTGGGCATATCTTGATAAGACCATGCAAAGATATCTTTGAACTCTTGAAGGAGATTTATCAATTCTTGTTTTATCTGGACTGTCAGAGTGGTACCAATTTTCACCTCTTTTATTTCTTCATCTGTTCCCAAATTCACAGTCTCAACCTCTTCTTTGTGGGGTAGAATTTGTTTGTCTTCTTTTTCTACCAATCTTAATAGTTCAGTAGGAATATCACATTCCAGTTCATCCTCACAACCATTGATTTCTTCCAGACATATAGGATGCTCTAAATTTATCACTGGATTAAATTTAGGAATACACATGCTATTAACACGGTGACACCTGCAAATTTAAGTCGGACATATTTCCGAAAGAATATAGTAAATTTATGAAATGTAAAAATGTAATAAAATGTAAAGAATGATTGCCATCTGAAAATTTTAAAGAAAATTCTTATATTTAACATAATTTCTTTTACAAGATAACAAAAGTTTTCATATTTTTGAGCTAAACATAAAGATTAGTTCTGAATATTACTCTGTATTAATATTAAAAACTATAGGAAGATCTTCAGCGGTCCAATTGGTGAGTGTTTCTCCAGGAAAACATGGGCGAATCCTATCCAAGTACTTGCCAGTCTTGTTGTCATTCATGATCATGTTGATAAATAATCCATTCATAGCTTTTTCAACTATGTCTTGATCTTTCGTCAACTTTTCTTCTTTAAAGGCTTCAACAAGCTGCTGCTCTACATTAATTGTTCCCCCTGATCTGAATATGGTCTTCAACTGTGGGAATGACATGTGTTCCCAAAGGATTTCTCCCATTTTCAATTTTGCCTTTCTCTCTTCACATCTTCTTTTCATCTCTTTGTTCTTTTGCTGAAGATTGGGCTTAAACCCTAGCCCAAAACGGTCTTTTTTCATCTTTATACTGATAGGAATTGAAATCCCTTGAAGATTCTTTCCTAGACCTTTCCCAGCTTTAGCTCCGATGCCTAAAGTTTGTCGTAGCGTCATCTTGGTGCAATCAGACAATCTGGGATATGGAATTTTACTTCCTTCTGCAATAAAGGTTGCATTTACAAATTCAAGAGCTCGGAAAGAGCATTCAAGAGCATCATCATTGGTGTTGATATATGGAACATCGCTTGTTACAGACGCAATGATTTCTTCTTCAGCACTAACGCATATTAGTTGTCCCTCAACAACAAATTTCAATTTCTGATGTAATGAAGAAGGAACGGCTCCTGCTGAATGAATCCATGGCCTCCCTAATAAACAATTATATGTGGGGTGGATGTCCATCACCACAAAGTCAATATTGTACATGACTGGGCCGATTAACAACGATTTCCATTTTCCCAAGCACTTCTTTTGAGTACCATCAAATGCTCGTACCACATTCTGATAACTCTTCATGTGTGATTGATCCAGAGGCATTCTTTGAAGTGTAACTAGAGGCATCAAGTTGAGAGCGGATCCATTGTCAATCAATACTCCTGGTAACACATGACCATGACAATGTGTCGTGATGTTCAAAGCTTTTACTGACCCCATTCCGCCTTCCGGTATTTCATCATCCGTGAACGTTATGTAATTGTCAGCGGCTATATGTCCCACAATTCTATCAAGTTTATTGAGGGATATATCTTCGGGGATAAATGTTTGATTGAGAATTTTCATCAAAGCATTTCTATGCGCTTCTGAATTCATCAATAGATCAAGAATAGAAATTCTCGCTTGTTGTTTGTGTAGTTGTTCAACCACATTATACTCACTATGTTTCAGGAATTTCAAAAATTCTTGAGCTTGTTTTTCTGTCACAGGCTCATTGAATGCTGGAAGGGATTCATCCTCAAATACCTTCTGAGGTATTGCCATGGCTTTTCCTTTTGCTTTCACTTGTTCTGGAGCATTGGATGTTTCGGGAGAGTAACATCTCCCACTTCTTGTAAAGAAACCGACCTCGCTCACTGCTTCAGACGTCGATGTTGTACTCAGGCTTTGTATTTTCTCTTCTGTTTTTTCTAAAGAAACAGGTCCTCCTACCATTGAAACATTGGTAGTATAATTCCAAGGTACCCTGCGGGTATCTTTGTATGGAAATGGTAAAGGAGTGGTAATAACTACTTTCGGCTTTATTGGTGCAGGAATCGCCGTAGATGATTTCACATTAATGATCACAGGATCATTTATTCTTTGACTTGGTTTAGAATCCTCTGATGAGCAAACATCATCTTCTTTTTTCCTTGGTTCTTCTTCAAAGAATTCTATTTCTCTGTTGTTCATCAATTTTTGCACCAAATTCCTAAACTCAGGACATAGTTGAATTTTATGCCCTTTCTCCTGATGATATTCACAATAATTCTTGCCTTCATTCTGCTTTGGCTTGAATTGTTGTGGGATTATACCGGCTAAAGAGAGTTGTTGGAATACCCAAACAAACGGAGATTTAATTTCAGAAATATCAGTCTTTGCTTTCTTTCTGTTCTCTTCCTGAATTGCATTTACGTTTTTATCTCCATGATTTGGCAATGGATGATTTGATGCAGATGATGTATTGAATTCCAACTTCCCAGTGTTGATCAAATTTTGAACCACCCTTTTGAATGCTAAACAGTTTTCAATGGAATGACCCGTAATTCCTTCATGGTAAACACAGTGTGCCTTTGTATCATACCAAGGAGGGAATGGTGGTTGCATGGGAACCAAGGGATAAGGCCGTATAACATCTGCTTTTAACAGCGAATCATAGATCTCTGCATACGGTACTGGTAAAGGTGTAAAAGACAACCTTTCATTTTCCTTTCGAGATCCTTTGGACTCTGCTCGATTAGTGTTTGTTTCCTCTTTCTTAACCCTTGGCTGGGTTATTGTAACACTTTTCGATGAATCCTTGCTGTAAGAATTTGCATTGTTGACTTCATTCTCCTTTTTCCGGTATGTAGGTCTTTTGGAACTAGACCCATCATTCGATTCAATCTTGCCACTTTTCAAGACATTTTCAATGATTTCTCCAGAAATGACCAAATCTGCAAAATTTCTGGTTGCATTCCCCATTAGATGATTTAAATAAGGAGCCTTCAAGGTATGAACAAATATTACTGTGGCCTCTTTTTCTGACAAAGGTGGTTGAACTTGAGCCGCAGTGTCACGCCATCTCTGGGCATACTGTCTGAATGTTTCATTATTCTTTTTCTCCAAATTTTGGAGAGTCCATCTATCAGGAACCATGTCTGTTACATGGCGATACTGCTCTAAAAAATGCTTTAGCCAAATCTTTCCAGGATCTAATGTTGGCTTTGGTCAATTGAGTATACCATTTTAAAGCCGGTCCTGTCAAACTATCCTGAAAGCAGTGAATTAACAATTTCTCGTCCTTCACATATCCTGCCATTCTTCGACAAAACATAGTAATGTGGGATGAAGGGCATGTAGTACCATCATATTTATCAAATTCGGGAGCTTTGAACTTGATGGGGAGGATTAGGTCTGGAACCAAACTCAACTCACTAGCATCAAACCCATAGAATGATTCAGTTATTTCCACGGATTTCATTCGTTCTTCTAAGTTCTTGATCTGTCTGGTCAGTTCTTCATTTACTTTTTTGTTTCTCATTCAGCTCATTCAAATCCGGGATCAAATGATCAGTATTAAGATCCCCTATTTTCACATCTGATATAAGCGGATTTTTGCTTGAAGATGCAGGATCCACTTGTTGATCTTCATGTGGTTTGACTTCTTGTAATGCAGATGTACGAGCATTGATTTGTATAGGTGTAGTAACAGAATGATAAATTGGTTCTGGTGGAAAACCTAGAGGATACATAGATTCTTGATCAAAAGATACAGGATTTTCAGGCATTTTTCCAATAATAGCCTGCCTTTTAAACATATCCTCTATTTTCTTCATCATACTGTCTTGTGAATTTGCAATACTAGCTTCAATTTTTTCCAACTTCATTCTCATTTCTTCTTGTTCTTTATGATGCTGTTCCTCAATACGCTATATTTTATCCTCCATAATTCTCTTAGTAGCTTGTCTAGTACCGTAGTGATGTAGTATTTCTCTTTTGGCCAGAGTAACTGCGATTGAAAAATCTTTTAATATTATTTTTTCAAATTTTAATTAATGAATTTTAACTTAATAAAATAATAATTCATAGCGAAAATTATGAAATGAATGATGAATGTATGCAAAATGCATGTATGTAAAAAACATTGATCCCAAAAAGTTAACTGTCATAGAACAACTTTCATCGGCATACAAAAGTTTCTTTATAATAGTTCATAACTACAGATAAGGCGTAGCTTTCCTATTAAGCTCTATAATTTCTTTCATTAACCATGACACCTTCTTTCCGCACTTAGAAACTGGATCAACGTGATGCTCAATTATTTTGGCTTCAACAGCTAGTTCCCCAACATATCTAGCAACTTCGCTCATTTGTACCATGGCCTCGAACACCATATTGCTTCTTTCTTCACTTCTTTCGACATAGAACTCAGTTGACTTTTGCCATTGTTCATTCGTTCCTTCAAGAGTTTGCTCTAACTCAGTGATTCTGACTTGACAATTGTGTAGAATTTTTTCAAGATCTCTAATGCGTCTTCGCAGTGAAGCATTTTCTTCATTACTTTCTTTGAGATCATTAGGTCCTAGACGAACCTTTTCTTGAAACAATGATTCTTCAAGTTGCAAAATGTAAGCATTAAACTCTGAGTTTTTGTTTCTAGACTGATTCAGATCCTCTTCAAGTTTTGTTCGTGCTTCTTGCGTTCTTTGATTAAGCTTCTGGATTTGAACATCTTTGTTTCTGCATCTTTGCATCCAATTGCTAGCCACTTCCTGCTCTACCTCAAGTCTGGTGTTGAAATGTTTTCTTTCTAATTCCCATTTTTCCTTTTCAATATTGGATTCTTCCATCTTTTGGCCTCTGACTTCAAGTTCAGCAATCAACTGGTTCATTTCAGATTCAAATCCCTTGAACATGCTATTTTTCTCACCTTCAAACTTATTAAAAATGTCATTCTTCATCTCTTCTAAATCTTTGGCTCGATCCCTTTCTCTATGCATTTCATTCATGATCTCGCGGTGTTCAGCCTTGTGTTTTATAATTCGCTCTCTTCTGTCGACCTCATAATCTTCCATTTTTTGCTTTCCTTTCTCAAGGCTTTTGAGTAGACGGCTATTCTTTCCTTTCAGATCTTCAACTCGTCTTTTCTCGATATTCAATTCTCTGGTCATCTGTACCGTCGATTGGCTGGGTCCTAATGCTTTTCGGGATTTATATAACTCCTGGTAATTTTTCTGTAAGGCTCTGTATTCATCCTCACCTTTTTCTTTATCTTTTCTCAACATTGCACATTGTGATGAATGAAAGTCAATGTCAACCTCCAACATAGCTTTATCTTGTCTCATTTGCTCTAACTCTTTCGACCAACCTTCTCTTTCTGCTTCAAACTCAACTCTCAAGATTTCAATCTCTGATGGAACCACCTTAATGTGATCTTCCATAGAGATATCCTCATTTTGATCTGGTAGAGGAATATTTTCATTTTTTCTGACAGATCTCCATTCTTCATAATCAGGAGTTAGCATTTCTTTTGCTGCTTTAGCTCGGATACAAAAAGTTGTTTTCCAAGCTGTAACGGCTTCCATGATGTTCCTTTTATAATTTTTGCTGTGGAATGCGAACTCAGATGACTGTAATCCAGCAGTGACAGGTACAAATTGACGACCTTCATACTGTCTTATGACCAGAAGTGGTGCATATCCAATTCCTCCCCATAATCCAAGCAGCATTATCCAATTGTAATCACCACATCTGTAAAAGAATTCCCTTTGGATTTGCCACGGGGCGCGCCAAACAACGTCATTGCTTTGCAGATTTCGAAAGGCATTAATCCACATATCTTTCTTAATTTCTTTCGGCCATTCCTGCTCCAGAAATTCTTTTAATGGTGAGTAATCCGTATTAAAACGTCGGTATGAAATCTTTTCTGTCCTCCAGAAATGGCTACGGATCCAAACATATAACAACTGGATACACCCTGAGAATCGTCCACCTCCTAACTTTCTACAAGCATTTAACGATCTGAAGGTCTCTGCTAGGATTGCAGAAGCAGGATTAATCTTTTTCGGTAGCTGTTCAAACAAATCTACCACTGCAGCTTCAACATATCCCAATACTTTTGGGAAGATGACCATACCATATATACCCAGAGCAAATAAATCGAATCGTACTTTAGAGTCTGGATGGCTCTGAATAAGTTCTCTAATGTTGGTCCAAGCAATGCCTTCGCTTTCGCCTTTTTGTTTTGTACGGGATGCTACCCATTCTTCTCGTACCCCGGCAATCTTTGCTAATTTAACTCGAAAGGGTTGAGTTTTAATTGACTTTGAATAGATTCGATTCTCCAAAACCCCATCTATATGTAGAAAAGTTGTGTATTCTTCAATAGTAGGGACCAAGTCTTCCTTATTGAGAGTGAAGCAAGTGTACCCTGGATTCCAGAATTGAATTAGGGCTCTGAGTAATTCATCATCAACTTCAACATAGAGCAAATATGGGATGTCTCCATAAGTCTGATAAAACTGCAATTTTTTGTTTGAATCCCAACTTTCCCAAATGCTTCGCAAATCTTGCGTATCATTTCTTTTTAGTGAAACTGGAGCATAACTGGCCAAGTCAGATACATAATCATCCTGCAGACTATCTCCTTCTTGTCTTTGTAAGTCCTCAGCCCACTGTCGTACTTCGGAGTTTAGAATTACTTGATTTGAACACTTTTTATCCATAGATGAAGGCTTTCCAATGAGACAATTAACACAAGGATCAATGTCTTTTATCCTGTATGATGCAATGCAAACAGAAAAATAAAGAACACACAAAAAGAAAATAAATTAGTTTACATAATAAAGAAATTTAATAATAACATTTACATAAATATTCTTTATTTAAACATGCCTTTCTAAATTTAAATAATTTAAATAAACATGTAATTTAAACAATAAATAAATTAACAGGAAAGTCAGAATTCATTTCTCCTGTGTGTACACCTATTTTGGACAAAATTTCGGCATGACTTCTGATCGGAAGAGTTTCTAAGGTTTTTTTTTATATGCAAGGTTTCAGATCTAAGAATCAAGGTACCCGAATTGTCCTTGTTAGTGCCCCCTTGGGTTGCTAACCCTCAATCCTAGTCCATCACAGACTAAAGTGGATCGAGTTC